ACAGACTGACAAACAGATAGACAGGGCTTAATCGACTCGTCTTGTCCACCACATTGTGATGTTTGGCACGCCCCTTGTGTGTATTAGACATTTTATAAGAGACGAAAGTGAAATACTCTATACCGAAAACAAACTTGCTGCACTGTCCGAATAGCGCGTTGTAGATGCTGCCTAGGAACTAGGAAATTGGTTGATATGGGCTTTTAATTTTCTACAAGTTCAGGGGAGTGGTTTCTAAAGCCAGAAAGAACTATTTCTGATAAGTAGAAAATTGCCTTAAATTAAAAGGACATTGTTAATTTTCTTGAATCAAGCAGGTTTATTTTTATTTTTATTTGAGCATATTACCTTCTTGTAGAATACATAAAAAACATTGTTCTGAATATAGTAAATGCTGTAGCGTAAAGTAAATATAAATATATATATATCAGCTTAAGGGAAGGACCTGGTCGTGATTGAAACTGGAATAATCTATAGTATGCCTTTATGGCTATTTATTCACATTATCAATTATCGATTCGTCATTGTTTGTTCTTGCAGGGAAAGCCCCAACCCACACTTCCTCCTTACTTATTGCAAACTTATCAAAACTTGTATGTTATGCCCCATTTTTATAAGTGTATGGCTTAGCCGAAGGCATGCTCCGTAGCTCATCGTGTGACATTTTCAGCTGAGTATTTTTATTGGCTATTTTTTCTTTGTTCAAAGGAAAAAAAAACATACATATATATATATATATATATATATATATATATATATATATATATATATATTTGAAGGCGACCGCCCGTCCAAATATCTAGCTATTTTCGGCACACATGTCGTATGCGCATTATTGAATTTTTCACACACACGCACACACACACAATGAGACAAGTTATCAAGCATCCGCCAAATGAATTCAATTGTCATGAGCCAAATTGATTTCTCTCTCACCTTATATTTCTTGATGGCATTACAGGTGTCAATATATCTTACTGCCGTTGTTGCTGTGTCATTGACTTCCGCTTCAATTGGGTTTTTGGGGACGTTCCATTTGCCAATGCGCCTGTCTGTTTACCATTGATAAATTTCCTTTGTTACGCATGGTGTAGCGTGAATTTCGCCCAATCGTTTACGAACCATGAAATATGCATAAATCTGTGTCCAGTCGCTGGCGCTCGTATTTCAAAATTCATTTGGTCTGGTCGATTCAAGCCAATAATATATAGTACATTGTGGTACTGTCCCCGCAAAAATTGAGTACCATTTGATTGCATTTTCGGCTATTGTGGGTCATTGCGCTTCTTTCTTTTCTTTTTTTTTTTTTTTTTTTTGTATGGAAATGAGTTTTATGCGCATGTTCAGTCCGCGCCACTTGCCAATTTGGCAATAAATGCCACACATGCTCATCATTCCCGTATAAACATAGAAGCAGTCTGCAATGGAGTATTGTGTTTTAGGATTTATGGGCTCTCGGGGGTATGGTTTGTCTCTGTATTCGTTTTTTCTTGCCTTTTATTATGACATGAGCAAGTTATCTTTAGATTACTCAAAGGTAAGCAAATTCGATTTATTTGGCAATTAACTTTAGCCATTTTGGAATATCCGGTACCTTTTTCCGGTTTCAAAAATATGTTGAATTGAATTGGTTAAGAGCTTGATTTAGTTTTACAAATAAATTCCAAGTCCAATTTATGAAAATAATTTATTTTGATTTCATTTGATTAGGTTCAATCCTGCAGCCCCTTTGGCATTTAGATGCGATACAATTGTCTCGCTGTAAATATTACACATTCAATAAAAATATGACACATTGATTTAACTGCGGTTTATACCTAATTTTTATACTCTGTACATTAATTGTCCAAGAGTATATTAGGTTAGCGGCAGAAGAAGGCGTGGCAGACCCTACAAAGTAAACAGTATATGAAGTAAGTGCGTGTGGCGCGTAATTCGAAAATGCCTCATTAATTTATTATACTTGTATATATATTTATTATATTTATATTTATTACATTTATATTTAATATATTCGCTTGCCATTTGCGAGGCATGATTTCCACACAAATTTTCAGCATATTCGATTGGAAGTGACTACCAGATTTGTCGAATTTGACGGAAGAGTTGCTGAGGAGTTAATACTCGTTTTCCCTGATGCTTATACTTTATAAATGTCCAAACATTTTCAATTGGAATGGCATCAGGGGACTGGGATGTTCTATCCTCCAGTCCATCCATATGAAAACCTGGATCTCAGAAACTATAAAGGATAGAGACATCAAGTTTCCATTTTTCGCAGTCTACTTATGTTCAGAGTATTTCAAAGTCTGGAAACACGACCTTAGCTTCTCCACTTGTTTTTATTAAATGGAAGACATTTCTAGGAAAAATGTTTCATCATCACATCAAAAACGTTTCGAAACATATTTTGGAAATAAAGTTCTGACTTCATCTTTTCGGGATGAATAAAGAACCCCAAAGGGAATTATTATGCATTCATCTAGTTAATTACTACTGCGCTAAAGCTGCGGCAATCATCTTTGTTAAATGACATGGCCGTAGCGAGGGGGGTGCAAAGCGGGCAGCTGCCCCCCCCCCCCTAGATTCTGAACGGATCAAAAATGTTGCAGACAAATTTGAATTTGTGCCGCATTGTACAAAAATCACGAAAAAAGACATCCATTTTATGGCTACGGTTAATTTATCAGCTAGATTGCTATGAAGATATAATGTTGAGAATATATACCTATATATATATGGGCATGAAAATATTGTGTTAATATGCTCAACTTATAACTCTTTACTAGCCCTATATTTAGTGCTAAGGTTGATTTTGGGCAACGGGACAAACGGGGCAAATAAGTTGTTTTTTCGGCCAACAGTTCGCTGATTTTATCGAAGTCTGAAAACGTTGTGCATTATTGTCTCTTTAAAATAGTTTTGGTATAACAGTTCAGAAAACGCAGTTTCAGTTCTGAACTGTGAAACAAAATGATTTTAGATTTCTTTATCTGCCATAACGTTCTTTTGATAACTGCCCCGACCCCAGATATGGCTCCTATTCCATTTTAGCTTGTAAACAAATTCTATTCAATTGAGAAGCATACGAATTCTTTTTAGAAAATTAACTAGAGTTGATACTATAAATTGATTTTCAAACTGAGAGCAGCACCCATTAGAAAAATTACATATTTTTCTCCCCGTTTGCACGCCACTTTATTTTTTTGTTCAATCATTTTAAAGTATGTACACGTATGTACTTGTAGATACGAGTATATAAAAATTTATCATTTATGTAAGACAACATAATTTCAAATTCTTAAATTTTACACTCTCGATGTCGCACGGGACCAAATTTATATTAGTTCCACGATCACAAATCTTCTTATTTTTTAGCAAGTTTTTTTTACATTTTATTGCATTCGAAATTTCAAATTTTCATTATTTTGAATTTCTTTTTTCCCTATTTTTCCATATTTTTCATGTATTTTTTGTATAGTGGAAATAATTTGATAGTAAAAAATCGGCCAAAAAAATCTTGCCCCCCCTCCCCTGGACTAAATCCTGGCTACGCCCATGTTAAATGATATGTTATTTAAAATACGGAGAGATAAAAGAAAGGTATATATATTTTCTTCGACTGTTAAAAAAGTTTCTTTTATTTTGGGAAATACATTAAATATATTGAAGAATTGCATTCCCAGATAGATATATATATATATATATATATATAGAAACATTTTAATGATACTTTCAAATGTTGAGAAAAATACAATACCCCCGAATATGGTTTATTAAATTGCGAATTTTCTGTGCAAAGATTTTCCTTTCAGTAAAATAAATAGAACGGGGTTTCTTCTGCCGGCGATAAGGAAGTTTAAATCAAAACTCAAAATGTTTATATTACTTACTTATATTATTTTTTTAGGCAACAATTTTATTTATTCTGGGAAAGAACAAATACTCGCCTTGTCCCTCTTCACTACAACCATAACAAGCTCAAGATCCTTATAATTTTTAACAAATCAAGAAAATTTTACAAGTTCACTATTGGCTGGTATTTAATCTTGTGTCTGCATCTGAAATCCTTTAACAATAAGGATGATGGTAAAGTTGTCGTCCGCCTATTATTACAAGCTAAATGATTTTCAGGGTTTTAATTAAGAATTTCCTCTACAGCCACAATGATGCCATAAGAAGTAGGCTTGTATATTCAGCTCTTTTGAAATATTATTGATTGAAAAAGGGTGTATGATACATTACACTTCTTGAACGGGCATATTTTAAAAGAGAAAGAGAATTGTTTAGTCTGTACACATATCGTTTTATTATCAACATTACATACAATTAGAAAATAGCCTTAAGAACTAGTATTCAACCGCGATAAAGAAGAAAAAAAATGTATCCTCGAGCTCAACTAAGACAGAGCATTAAACGTTGAGCGCCAAAGTTTAGCAAATAAGCAACAAAGTAGATGGATGCAATACAATGCTCAATAAATGAGCAAACGCTTATGAAGAAGACACATATATATTTAAAGAAATGTGTGTCTTAATATATGTCTGTGCGTGTGTGTACGAGTATGTGCGTGTGTGTGCGCGTTTGCATTTATTGCGCAGTTTATTCATGTATTTAGGCAACGTGACAGCTCAATGAAATGCGTGCCGATGGACAAAATGCATAGCACTTTACTTTATGGCGCCCGCACTCAACATGAAAACTGGCAACGTTGCTCACAAATGTATTTAAATTGCGTATTGGCATCGCTGCTCATACACTACTTGGTCTCATTATTTACAGTTATTGGCTCAACTGACTGGATGGTGCAGGTAGTTGGTGCAATGTAGTTGGATGTATGTATGTATTATTATTAGATCCGGCTATATCTCGACGCATGTGTTAGGGGCTGCTTGGTTGATATGCTTGATGGCTTTCTGGCTGGCTTGCTGGCTGGCTGGTTGGTTGGTTGGTTGATTGGCTGGTTGGTTGCTTCGTTGTTTCACTTGCATGTCATCCGCTTAATAGCCATACTGTATGCCATGGCCAGCGACCGATGTATGCACTAGGGCGGGGGCAGCGACAGCAGCTCTGCAAAATTATCAGGGGAAATTTAATGAAAGCTTAATTAAATGCATACTACACGCTTCAGTATAGTATAAATAGACGAACACCCAAAGGTCAGTTTTAACATAATATGCATATGCATATAGTACGTACTACTTTTTAACTGACGGTCTTTAAAAAGTTTATTTTATGACTGAGTTTTACATTCTTCACACAATACTTTGCATGGAGCCCGTCAACGGATCGGCTTTAGCCTTTAAACAGTAGTCATCTTATCATACGTGTATACTTCTTTATAAAAGTTTTGTTGCTATTTATTTACTTATTCTTAAATCGTAAAACGAACTAATAAGTCACCCAAATAGAAATTATGTTTGCCTTAAATTTGTAACATAAATTCATAACATGTTGTTTGCCGTTTGCAAAAATAAAGCCTCTGTAACATAACATAATGTAATTCGGCTGCGTCTGCAGCGCTCTCTTGCTCCAATTTGCAGTGTAATTTGGCAGCGCTCTTGCTCTCATTGCAGCGGCAGATATACAAATGCAGCTGCCGTGTTAAAACCTTGCGTTTGTCAAGGTGGAGTCGCGCAGTTCAGTAGTTGTTGCTCTCCAGCATTCGTACATGATTAGGCCGATCTCGCTTGTTTGTTGTTTTTGGCGAAGCAACACATAACGTAATTCAGCTGCACCTGCAGCGCTCTCTTGTTCTCATTAACACTCATTAACATAATGTAATTCTGTAGCGCTGTTGCTCTCATTGCAGCAGCTGATCTGCATAGGCAGCTGTCGTGTTAGGGCCGCACAGTTCAGTTTTGTTGCTCTCCAGCATTCGTACACGATTTATTCGATCTCGCTTGTTTGTTGTTTTTGGCGAAGTAAGACAATCGGTCATAATATACTTAGTAGTTGCCAGTGGATATTACAATAAACAATTATAACATTGTTATTAAAAGTAAACATGTTCTTTTTGTGGAAAGCAAGTGTTGGCTATAGTTTTCGAAACATAATTTTTGTTGGCAACGCTTTTGAATTTAAAATTCGAACAATTTCTGGTACATAGAATACAAATAATTTACTAACTAAAAATTGATACTGATAGTGCGAGCTTTAAATTTATTTTTTTCGAAACAGTAGTCATTTATTAAATTGTTATTTAATTGTAAATGAACTGGATTCGCTCCCCTCAACACATTTGCTGAAAATATACTTTCATGTTTAAATCGCGGCTGTCTAATTTATTGTAAAAAACCACCGATACGAAAAAAGAAATGCAAAGTACGCAAAAAATGCAAATTCAAAAGGAACATCGGCAAGATACATTTTATACTGGTAGATAAAATCTAAAATATGTGCATACTCAAACTAATTATAATTATGCATACTCACTTGAGCAGTGGAGCCCCAATATGCGCAATAGGCGATGCCAGACCAATGCCATGACCAATGATTCCAGGTGCTATATACAAGAAAAATTAGCATTTTATTGAAATATGCATAAGAAAGTCCCGAAAGTTATGTCGTCGATATGCTGACGACACTGCCATCCAAGTGCTGACAATGGCATCGTTGTTATCAAAATATGGTATGAATAGCAACAGAAGCAGCGACGGCAACAACAAGAGGAATAAATAACGGCAGTGACAATGACAACAACAGCAGCATCTTGAATTGTGTCATTGTTTCCACTCGAGTTTTTTGGGGAGTCCACTGAGCATAAAATATATCGAGCTACATGTGAACTATCGCCCGAAACGGCGAATGTCACCCCAACGAGCCAACATCAATCAAGTGGCAAAACGAAAGCAGCAGTTGACTGCGGTGTGCCTGAAAGCGCGATGAAGTGGACGAAACAAGCGTAAAAAACTACGAGTAGATGCCGAGCAGCTAGATACAGACTAGATCGACTCTTGGATACGCTGCTTTAAAACTTGACAGCAATGGTTGCGTTGTTTCGCGAGCTTAGGTCAAGCGTGGAAAATATGTGAAAAACAGTAGTAGAATGGATTTTAAGAAAATCAAAATTTAATTCATTGCCTATTAAAGAAATGTCGCGTACGAATCAAAATAATTTTGAAAAAAAAAAACTTTTGTTTTGTCAAACTGGAACCAAAGCTAAGGAATGGAAGAAAATCTGTAGTGGCAATCGTTCTATTAAAAAGCTGAAGAGAGAATGAAGTACGGAAACAGCTTGAATCCGTGTTAAGCGAACACAACACTTACAACACGACTGACACCAAACAGATACTACAACGGTATGTACATGGGTATATATGTACATATATACATACAAGTATATACAGTATACGAGTTTATATCTTACTGCGAGTCGCGACTGTCAATAGTTTAAAGTGCCAGTGTAACAATGGATGGACGCATGACTGATTACGCGTTGGCCGACACTTCTCCGGCTTAAGAAAGCATGTGTGTGTGTGTGTCTGTGTGTGCACAGTTGTGCGTGTGTGTGTGTGTGTGTGCGAGACGATAGAGCGAATCAATAGCAGCCCATTGAAAAGGCCAGCGCTGCTACACTTGGCACGTGCAATCGTGCGAGCCGCCGGACTGGCGAACAGACAAACAGACAAACAGACGGACAGATGGACAGGCTGACACACACACCGAAAGGTATGCAATGCAGGCATGTAAGCTTGTCTATTTGAACGGCTGGAACGCACACACACCTTTATTTATTGATAGTGTAATTTCCTTTAACGATTTTGACATGGAATACAACATGAGGAGCAAACAGTTGAGCATTTATTGATTATCATTACGAATATTGCTCTTCAGCTGAAGCTTTACGAACTCGTAAGCACTTGACTTGACTTTGTCCTATGGTATTGCTAATAGTGTTTAATAAGAATTTGTTTGGATTTTCGCAGCTAAGAAGACGACGACGAGGACGAGGACGAAGAGGAAGAAGTCAAGCATGAACATCGAAGAAAGTTCTGTTGCTGTGCTTGTTTACGCAGCGTTCTTGTTTTTGTTTGCCTCATGCAACTTGTCGAGCACTTAAGTTGCTTGCTGTTGCAGCAAAGCTGGAATTTTCTTCCTTCCTCCTCCATTCTTTTTCCTTCTTGGTGAAAATACAATAAATTTGCCGCAAAGCAGCAAAGTGGAACTTTGTGTAATGTTAACAACGAAGGCGATGACAATGGCGCGAAGGGTTCGGGGATGCGGGGGCTAAATACTTTAGCGCTTGCTTTTATATACAGATAGATAGTTACACAAGAAAGTTGGCATTTCAAGTACATATTGATTGATTAGGATAAAAAGTTAAAAAGTTAAAAAGTTTAGAAAATTAGTACAACTACTACGTTCTTAAAAAATAACAACAAGAAAGACTACAAAAGCATTGAGGTGCGTTTTAAATTAGATCGTGAGGAGCAGAATCAGCAGAGGTGCGATATAAGTGGGTCAAGTTTGACAAACAAACGAAAATTGATTTAACTTGTATAACTAATTAATAGTATAAGCTCATATTGACTGCGAAATTGCAATGGATTATAGCTTAGTTTGCTCTATAAATTCTAGAGAAATTACAAGTAGGCAAATGGGCAATCGATTCGTGACAGGAGCATAATTACAAAATGTCAGTTATCTTAAAATTTAATAATTGTGCGACACACGACGGATCTTAAATAAATTTAAAGATTTATAAAAAACTATTTATCAACAATAAAATAATATAAAACAAGAAAGGAATGCTAAAGTCGAGCAGGCTCAACTCTTAAATACCCTGTACCACCCCACAAAAAAGTAATTTAATTAATTAATTAATTTAATTTAATTAATTAACTAAATTAATTTAATTAATTAACTAAATATTAACTAATTAAATATAAAATATTCCATGCATGCATACATACATTTACATTTACATCAGAATCGTGCCTTATGCGTGTTTGTGTACTTGTACATATGTATGTATGTGTGCATTGGGCCTGGTTATATGGCTATAACTTTCTTTTTGATCATTCTATCATAATGAAACTTGGTATACGGATATATAATTACTAACCTAATGTGACTACCAAATTTAAGTTTAAAATTCCAAGAATTATGGGAGTTATAGAAAATCGTTAATAGGGGGGGAGTGGGGGGTTGGATCAGAAAAAATGAACAAACTTGTCCTTTCTCGGTCTCAGGAGAATCTGTATACCAAGTTTGGTTATTCTAGCTCTTATACTTTCGGAGATCCTTGCGTTCATACAGACAGACAGACGGACAGACAGACGGACAGACAGACGGACAGACGGTCAGACGGACAGACGGACAGACGGACATGGCTATATCGACTCGGCTTGTCATGCTGATCAAGAATATATATACTTTGTGGGGTCTACCAAGCCTCCTTCTGTGTGTTCCATGTGCACTCGCACAAAACTAATATACCCTTGTACCCTTTGGGTACAGGGTATAAAAAAAATTTTGGAAAATAGTTCAGATCAGCGAAAAAAAACATTATATTGTGTATATTTGAAAAAAAATATTTGTTGGTTAAAATAGGTTAAAAATATGAAAATAAATAAAGCAATGAATTTAGGAAAAAAATTCAGATCAGCGGAAAGAAAACACATTTCTAAAACAATAAAAAGTGCATTTTTTACATTTCTAGTGTTTTGTATATATTTGGAAAAAAAACATTATATTTGTTAGTTTTGCAAAAAAAAAAGAGAAAAAAACATTAATGGACACTTCAACTATTTATGCATAAACAGGGAAAAATAGAAGAATATTAATATACATTTTTTTGTTCATTATTATTTGCTTATTAGTTCCTAGTAAACTAACAAATACAATGTTTTATTAGCTTAAGTTATAAAAGTTCATCGGCTGATGTAAGAGAATTGATATACTATATAGCATGAGTCGAAAACCCCTAGCTTGATGATTGGAATTTCATGAATAGCCACATAATCAAGTATGAATTGAATGGAAATGAATTTACAGTTTAATGTCCTTGCTATAAACATTGTACGAGTAAAGCAGATTTTAATTTAATTCTAAGAATTTCCAAAATTTTGATCGAGTTGGATCCAATAATTCTGATACTAGCTATTCTATTTTCTGTTCTGTTTCACAAATCATGAGCTGCTTTTCTGATATTTTTAATTTTTTCAAATTAGATTTAAGCGACTCGAGGTGGATGTATTTATCATCTTATAAAGGAGTTCAAGTAGGAGTTCAATTTTCATTTACTTGCCATACCATGCCCAAATATAGATGTGACGTAATTATTCTCTCTCGCGGGCTCTACCTACCGTAGGCGGGGGCGGCGGCATACTTCAGAGTGGGCGCAGCGGCAGTCGCCAGATGGTAGCCATGCGCCAGCGCCGGCGCTGCGGCATACCCCAAATGCGCGCTGGACAACTGCAGGGCTGGAGCGGTGGCTGCGTAGCCACCATAGGAGTAGGCTGGGGCAGCGTGGGCGGCGGCGGTGGCATAGCCCTGACTATAGGCCGGAGCGGCATACGAGATGCCATGGGACAAGGCTGGAGCGGCATAGGAAATACCGTGCGTGGCCAGAGCTGGAGCGGCGGCATATGAGAGGCCATGGGTGGCCAGAGCGGGTGCGGTGTGCGCATAACCAACAGCAGGTGCGGCTACGGCATGTGCGGCTACGGCATGTGTAGCTAGAGCGGTTTTTTTTTTCATAGTATGTTAAAACTGAACTACGTGCTGTGTGGCATGTGCATCAAAGGTATTGCAAATGTGGCGTGTGTGCGAGGTGAGGGAGTAAGTAAGTGAGTACGGTGAGTATTTGCTGTATGAGTGGATGAACGACGTCCTATACACCACGTACCTGTAGCATTCATTTGAAATCGTTCATATACAGCATTGTATATAGCATTGTATTTATATCCCTTTCGTTTGGAAATGTAATATTAAAATAGTTCATTCAATATTGCATTATATACTTTAAAACGATCGTTTATCATAAGGATATACAACTATATGTGGACAAACATGTTGCCGCAGATTTCGTTCAAGTCGGCTTTGAGATTATTAGTTTATTCCATCATTCATGGAATTGGTTGGAAGTCCAATTACAGAAACATCCTGGTAAATATTTCCGATTTTAGTTTTTTGTATTTCAAGAGAAAGGCTTTCGGCATTCGATCTGAATTGCAATTTAATACATATCATTACCCTGTTTCTGAAGAGCAAAAAGAGTATATAGGGTTTTGTGCAAAGAAGAGACAAATTAATCAATACATGTCCGTCTGTCTATTCACAGACTGCACACTGCCAGAACTTGGTATATAGACTCTGCTAATCCCTAGAAAAAACAATGTATATTTCCCCATTTTTTCACAATTTTTGCTTCCCTTTGAATTTATTTTTATCGAAGTATAGGTAGGGACTTATTTCAAATTGGCCAAAACAAACCAAACTGTCCCAGAATATTTAAAAAAGCTATACATTTTTAACCAACTTCAAAAAAGGAGCTTATCAATTAGTCCGTATTTTTTTATTTTTTACCTCAGAAAATTTGACTGGATGAACCGATTTTGATGATTCTATTTTGTATTTGAAAGCTGGTGCTAACCGAATGGTCCCATTTCCATTTGGTACAGTTCTGACAACGGATTCCATGATAAACCCATTTAAACACGACAAAGGGACGAAAAACTCAATATCACGCCAACCGATTTCGTTGACTCTTTTTTATTGGAAAGTATGTACTTCAAGGGAATTTTCCACTGGGTGCACCAATTTTGATGATTTTTTTGCTATTTGAAAGCTGGTGCTTCCCTTATGGTCTCCCTTTGGTCCAGCTCTTCAGAATCATCATCGAAACATTAAGTTACTTTTGATGCCAAAAAAATGTTCACTGCATTAGATCTGAAGTCGGTTCTTTTTTTAGTTTCAATTTGAATATAAAATGAAACTTAAAGAACATATTTACATGAACTGTATTAAATATTAAATTTATCATAATTTAATTATTAAGACTTGTTTTATCTTAGGACTGCTTCGGGAAATTTTCAGGAAACTGTCAATATCTATCAATTAAGATTGAGCTTACAGCTACATTTTCCCTGTACTTGTATGTACACTGCTAGGATAAAGGAATGCCAAAAAGCTACGCAATGTACGAACGATATCGGACGATACTGATAGCATACACTGTGAGTGCATTGTGTGTTGCAAATATAGTTGTAATTGTGTGCAGTTGTGCATATATTGTGCGCATGTTGGTATTGTCAACTACGAGTAAGTACTAGTGGTATGTGGTAGGTGGTAAGTGGTAATTGGTAAGTAGGTGTGTTAACCTGCCTCGGGCACAATACTCACCACCTATGGCGGGCGCCAGACCCGCATCATTGCTAATGCTTGACCGTTGGACGTGCGACTGTGAATGCGCCGTTTGCACTTGGCTGGTATAGTCCGATTGCGATGACTGACCATAATGGCCCTTTACGGTATGCTCCTGTGTATTGCCCACCGATGCATGATCCACACTAGGGGCGCTAATGGAGTAGGCGGCTGGGCCACCGGGACGAGCATGCACACAGGCGACAAGGGCAGCCAGGCAGAAGATGAGCTGAGAAAATTCAGAGCGAAGGTGAAACTTGCGATGCAAAGCAGTTGTTGTTGGTGGTGTTGTTGGTGTTATTGCTGGTGCTGATAAATCACGCAAAGTTGCCTGACAACTCATTTGTATTTTGTTTGCATATTAGTAGGCAACACTGAGAGCCACAGACGCACAAATCCACAGGAAATTGCAGGCGCGTAAACTTTTAATTAAGTTCGCAAAGTAGTTTCTCTCTCTCATACACACACACATACACACACACACACATACACACACACACAAGTGCACATATTCTCGCAAATGGAGACATGCTGGAACATATGCGTTCATTTACAGTCAGCTCAGCTCATAAAGAATTTCCATTAAACGTTAGAAAGGTAGCGAGCAACGAGTTTTTTATGCAACTGCGCATCTTTTCCATAATTGAAAATTATTGGAACCGATCGCTGTGTCCTTTAAATAACTATATCCTATCCACTTTTTATATTTTTATTAGCTCCAAAAGAATTTAAAGGCAGTCTAAGAAAATCACAGACAAACAGTTGACGTTCAGACAAATAAAAAATACGTTATTATTATTTGTTTATTTTTAGATTTCCTTTCCATTGTCTCCCTGTTTCTGAGTCGCTCGTTGTGGCAAAACAAAATTGTTCAATAAATATCCTTTTTAAACATCTACGCACCAACACTTCCACCATATATCCTAATCGTCCAAAGCTTCAGTACCCATTCAGCATATAACGAACACAAGTTTAAGCATTTTAATACCATGATTCAATAACATATCTAAACAAATTTCTTTTTCTATTTTTAAGAATTCATTATTTGTTGTAATCTGTAGCTTTAATTTTCTATGTTTTAACAAAAAGTTTCTCCCTTGCTAGTCCCTTTTTTTTATTAATATTATTTGTAGTTGATTATAATCTAAGAAATATATTACCCTAATGCCAATTTTATGCTTAACTGTCATCATTAAGTTCTGCTAACATCCTTTTGTAAGTCAGGCTTTTTTATAATTCTGTTATCTTCTCAACTACTTGTTCTTTCTTTTTTTATATATTTCTATTGGGCGGACCTGTGGAACTCTTTATGGGTGCACCCTTAGCAAATATTGTTAAAAAATTGTGCTTCTTAAAAATTGTCAAAATACGGCTCATTAAATGCCCTTTCATGCTAATTTCAGTGCGGGATCAAATAGCCTGCCGGATAAGATAACCAGATAACTTGCTCGCAAAGTTGTTCAATTTCAATTGTTGACTCCAATATATTATATTTGTGCATAAGATAACCAGAAACCCTTCTCGACCAACTCTTCAATTTCAATTATTGTTGTTCCATTTGTACATATGTTTCTTAATCCATTTTATGGCAATCAACAGAATAAATAAGAAGCAAACGATTAAATATGTTTTTTTTTTAATTGTTGTTTCGCCAAATTCTCTTCGTTATTCAGGTTTTTCTGCTATACTTTTTTTCTTTTATGTGAGTTTTTCAATCGCTTCGCCTTGCCATTTTAATCATTGAACGATGGTTCTAATTTGTTTGGCTGAACATTGATTTTATGAACCGACTTGGGCCCTTTTTTCGTCCACTTTTTGGCAACCTCTTAATAGACTAGGCATACGCGTCATACATATAGTGTTTTTGTTTTGTTTTAGTATATTTTATTTTGACAGCTATGCCATAATGAACAGATGGTATTCTATTAACGATTCGGGCCCTTAAGGCGAAAATCGAGCAATTATTTGTGAGGTGGAGTTAGAAACTGCCACCAAGATCTGGGATCTGTGAAGACAGAACCAAGGTAGCGATATGAATGACATCGTTTTCCATAAATTAAGGAAATATATACTCTTTCGAATAAACCAATAATATACAAAAATAACATATATTTTTTTAATGTTTTCTCATTCGAATAAACCAAAAATATGCAGAAAAAGTTTCTTTGTGTTCCTTTTCGTTAATTTTAAAAAGAAACCAATATTTGGATTACTCTATGTTCAAACCAAGTTATAAATCATTCGATTTAAAGCAAGTCGCCAATGCTCGTTATGTTTCTCTTCAATTCGAGGCAACGTAAATACTGGAATGCGAAAATCAACAATGCAACAAAAATACAAGCTTATATCTAGGCGTGAACTGAAGTCTACATCGGGGGAAATATATGTACAATTGAATGTGTATGTACAGGCGTTACTGGAAAGGTCTAGAAATGTGTAACGACTCTCGTGTGTCATTGCATTAAACACTTTCGCTGATGATGAAAATGGAAACCAAATGATGTGCTAATGAGAATTATAACGCGCATATGTATGTAAGTATGTATGTATGTGAGCAGTGGGTTCCATTGTGGAGAAGTTTGACTGTTTATGCATAAACATGCCTGGCCTGGCCGTGGCCACCCAGTTGGCCTTGAAAATTTGCTGCGCTGCTGCTTTGCGGCAACGTGGCGTATGAGTATTTCTGTAATTTATCTGCTCGCTTAGACTGCTTTCTCCTACTCTCACTCCCATCTCACTCTCTCCCTCTCTCTCTCTCTCTCTCTCTCTCTCTGGTTGCGCTTGTATGTATGTTTGCTTTGGTATGTTGTTTAATCTGACGTTTGTCTGTTTATTGCCCATTACGTCCATTTCTCACGTTTGCCTTTGTCCTGCACACTGCGTGTAAACAATTCCATTGAATTTCAATTTTGCGTGCATCGCACGGATTCAATGGAAAACAATTTTCCGCTAATGCCAGCATAATCGAGAGTGATATCAGAAGGACTCTAGCACCGACACCCTCAAAAAAGGGTTCAACTTATACGAGTATATATAGTATAGTATGTTTTGTATGTATTGTGACCAGCAGCTGCCTTAGCATTATTTTGTTTTATTTTATTTTACTTAACTTTGCATTGCCTCTGCCAAGTCGTGCCATTTTTCTTCTTGTTTCTTGTTTCTTTTTTCTCTAATTTCAAATTTATCGTTTCACTCCTGTTTGTTGCTTCCCGTGTGTCGGTCTTTCTGTCTGTTTGTCTGTCTGTCTGTCTGTTTGTCAGTCTTTGTCATTATTGTTGCTGTGTTTGCGGACACATGCAGAAGAAAACATGAAATTTAAGAATGGCCATGCAGAGCACACAAACATACACATTTGTGTTGTTTCCCTTCCCTTCTCATTTTATTTAATTTATTTTTATTTTTTTATGTTTTTTTTGCCTTGTACTTGTTCTCTGCCTCCTTCTGTTTTGTAACTTTCGCGCAATTTTCATGCCATTGCCATTGCCTGCCTCCATTGCCCGACTTGTGTGCTGGGCTTATATTTGTCTTTTGGTATTTATCTGATTTTAATTAAGCGTAACTGACTGCTGACCGTTTCATGTTCCACCAACGGCATGCACGGCAAGGGGCTCAAAGGACACGGACAACAGACGCGCAACCGCACACTGAACCAAGTGCTGTAAAACTTTTTAAGCCCCTAACTCGCCCAGCTTAGAGCCCGCCCTCGTCACCGTGTGCGCTTCCGTTTCGCTTCCAATTGTGCCAATTGCAATTAGAAGGCAGCCACTGTGACAGCTATTTAAGTAGTGGACAGACATTAGCGCTGACAAATCTAGTTACAGATTGCTGCCTTCAATCACATACTATATCCTGTAAACAAGGGTATACTGTAAAGGCTTATGACGCACCATATACAAGTACTACTTGTATATAGCCTGATAATAATTACTCTTGTTTATTGTTAAAGATATCTTCGGAAAATCTAGTATTTATGAGAGTACATCGTGGAATTGTATTGTTTCATCAAAACCGGCTTACTATATCAAATGACTGAGGCCGAGAGATTTAATGTTATAGACTACACTATAGTCAGCCTGTTTTCATTTATTGAGCTTAGATAGCTTGCTCCGAATTCGATTCAATGAATATCTTTTTTACAAATATTTTACACTAAGAAACATGCTACACATTTGCGGGCATTTTAAACCAACTTTTCTTAAATATTTGTTGATTTGAATAAAGTGCGCCGAATTTTGGTATTATTTCATATTTTGTTGCGGCTTTCAAAAATTATGCTTTGCATTTCCAAAAGTACATTAAAGCCACACGTTGTTCAGAACCGAAGTTGATGTCGAGTTTTGCTTAATTAATAGATAAAAATGCAATTGAGATAAGAGAGGGGTTTATAATGTGATTTAATAACTAATTTATGAAAATTAGAAATTTAAAAAAGGAATTTTAAAATAAGAATGTGAAAATAGGAATTTGAAAATAAACTTAGGGATTAAAAGAATGCATATGCATTTGCAAGCGAGCTATTATTCCTCAAATATGGTTTGCACCACTATGTAGTTTAGTTTCTAATTTTTGTAAAAAATCGGAATAATGTCACGTACATTTGTGGTCTATATTATGCTCGTAAATGTATATATTTGATTTGTTAACTTAACTTAATGAACTCTGCGTAAATGCGTTTATTGCCCAATTTGTTAAAAGTTTGTACTCAAAATAAACTAAACAGTAAATTATTATGATGCTTTGAAAAACATAGTTTAAAAGTTTAAAATTACAATGAAAGATATGGAGAGTCTGCGCAGGTTTTTGGCTCAATTTTACAAACTTGTTATGCGCTTTAAAGGAAAGGAACACACTTTAATAATTACATCCACTTTTATTTTGATTGTTTTCTTTTGTAATTTTATAATTCATTGTTTTTTTATATATTTTTTGAAGGGTTTACGCCTCTTTTCTGTATTAATTTTGCTGTTATTATTACAAAAATTTTCATTAATTTATTTACAAAAATATACTATCAACTTCAAAAAAAATTGTGGGGTTTTTTAAAGCTAAGCTGGAGATGTCTGTTGGGGAGATTGTTTTCTTTTGCCCTTTATTAGTTCATTGTATTTTATGTTTAAACATTTCTAAAATTTTCAATTTTTTTTTAATTATTTTTTTATTATTCTTGTGTTATTTTATATTTAAACACTTTTTAATTTTTCATGTTTTCTTTTTTAATTTTATAATTATTAATATATAATTAATTATATTTATTTATTTTTATATTTTCAATTATATCTTTGAATCAAATTTCTTAGTACCTTTTTTTTATTTTCTTGCCAGTCAGAACAAATTATTTAACAT